GAGCCCGTAAGGTATGTGAAATTTAACCTGAGTTATAGCGAACTCGGTTATAACGCAAACCTCGGTTATAACGAAGTCCATTCTGGGTCCCACCGACGAAACTGACTATATTGAAGTCCCTAATTCGTCATCCGAAATGGAAATAGAATTCCCATCATTGGAAAAATGAGCGTTGGTGAACCATAACTTACCTTTCCCGGATTCAGCATTCTTTGTGAGACATGTGGGCGTGACTGGAGGAGGGTGAGGGAGGATAATCCCCAGTAACTAAGAAGATCAAGTCAAGCCAAGACGACTTCAGTCGTCAATTGCATTTCTCGTTGACAACGTGGCCAGTGAAAAGCAAAAGAGGTAAGCCTTTGCAATTAACAAGAAAGTATGCATAATTCGTTTAATAAAAAGTGGACGAAGTAAAGCTGACGTCTCTCGTGAACGTCTCGATTAGTTCATCTGTTTCCACAATTTGGAGAAATCGTGAAAGCTTCATCCGTGCTTACGAAAAGAACATGCCATAGAACAAGAAACTTCGTAGATCTGCTCGAAATGACGTTGACGAGGCCTTGCTAAAGTGGTTCAAGGTTCAAAGAAGCGCAAACATCAGGATTAGTGGGCCAATGCTGAAAGTGAAGGCGGAGGAACTGGCAAGACTGCTAGGTGACAGTGAATTCGTGTGCTCAGGTGGTTGGCTTGATCGTTTTAAAGCACGGCACAACATTTGCTTCGGAAAGGTGAATGGAGAAGCAGCCAATGTTTCTGACAAAACGACCAGAGAGTGGCTTGAAAACGTGTGGCCAGAAGTTCGCAGGACGTATGCTGACGAGGACATTTTCAATTCAGACGAAACAGGGCTATTCTTCAAACTTACCCCAGATGAAACGCTCAAGTTCAAAGGTGAAAAGTGCGTTGGCGGAAAGCAGGCCAAGGACAGAATCACTGTCCTTGTTTGTGCTAATACGACGGGAACTGAGAAACGCAAATTGTTGGTGATAGGAAAGGCACAGAATCCAAAGTGCTTCAAAAACGTGAAGAACCTTCCCGTTCACTATAGAGGGAACAAGAGAGCATGGATGACATCGGAAATCTTTGAAGCCGATCTTGACAGTGGGATAAAGAACTCCGCATGAAAAAAAGAAAAATCCTCTTGCTCGTTGATAACTGCCCAGCCCACACTTGCCTCACAAACCTTGAAAACATCAAACTTGTTTTCCTTCCTGCTAGCACAACCTTCGTCCTCCAACCCATGGATCAAGGTGTTATCCGAAGCCTCAAATTTCACTCACTTTCGAAAGTTGCTCTTATTGAAATTGATTGGATGCATCGAACAGAAAATGGAACAAACTGTCACTGTTCTGGATGCAATTCGGATGATCCATGTGGCTTGGCATTGGGTAAAAGAAGAAACCATTCGAAATTGTTTCCGATATGCTGGACTCAAGCGGTCGGAGCTAGAAGATGAGAACGACCTTCCCTTGTCGGAGTGGCTCAAAACAAACAACGTAGATCACTTCCCGGATTGCAATGTCAAAGATTTGGACAACTTTGCCGAAGTCGATAGTGAATTGGTGACTTCGGAAGCACCGACGGATGCAGACATCGTCGACGAGGTAACCGGCGCAGTGGACATCGACGACGACGATGGAGAGAAAGGAGAGAATGAAGAGCCCATGCCGACTTCATTTGAAGCGCTTCAAGCGGTGAAAGTGCTTTCGCGTTTTTTTGAATTGCACGACGTGGATGCGTCAACCATGGATAATGTGGCAGTGGTTGGGACTGTCGTTGAAGAAATATTTTGGAAAACGCGAATGAACCAACGAAAGATTACGGACTTCCTCGTCTCACATTGAGCAGGAAGTCTGTGCAGTATGACCTTTGTACACGAGTCGTATATCTTTTTTGAAATATAGAATCCATTTTGGAAAAAAAAAAGGGAAACTGAATGTCATTAAAGGCAACCTCGGTTATAACGACGATTTTTTCCTGGTCCCTTCAATGATGTTATAACCGAGTTCGACTGTATATAGCAAATTTTATCATTAGTCATGAAGATAGGAGATACGTACATGCAATGTGGAACATTTCGCTTCCCCAGTCTCTGAAATTATCTGGGGTAGTCGAATATCCCGCACACGGGAGGGTTAAAAGCATATCATAGAGAATTTTCTTGGATTTCGAATGAATAAACTGAATTGTAATCTGATATCTCAGTCATGAGTTATCAAAGATCGAAAGGTGGGCACAACTTTCGACTCACCCTGTACAATGACCTAAGGAACAACAATCAGAATCTCTGGCTGTTATACTATAGGCCATAATGCGGCACCTCTGACCAAGAGGTGTAATATTATGCATCTCATCCCAACAACAGGTGGAACTGAACATCAAAGAAAAATATCATGCCACCACGTAACAATTCTGACATGCCAAGGAAAGCTCGGGGATTTGCGATTACATGATATGATACTTTGTATTTAGCTCCTTTTTTATGATGCATCCTCAAGATATTTCGAAAAAATGCTTAGTCCCTATCAATGATCCTAGAAATGGAAAAATATCCCGACCAAAGGTAAATTATGCCTTGGTTGTTGGAAAGTAGGTGGCTTCCCCATGAGCGCGTCATGGAAGCCATGTTAATCAGCCCACGACCATTTATTCCTCTGGATATATTACAGAAATAGATGAATAGAAGAGGCCTGGGTGAGCTTTTACAGAAGTGGGTAATATCGCCAAATTATCCAACCGTGCCAAGCTAAAGTTTATTTGTCCGCAAGTGGGGATACCACCCAAGCAGCACGTATACGTAAACAAGGTATCAATTTATTGCAAACAATGTAAATTCCTTGCGATTGCCATGAAAATGACATCACGTTTACGTCAAATTTACGTTTCTATATTTACGTCACCTATATTTACGTCACCAACTAAGTGTACGTGTATTTTACATAAACTAGACGTCACTCCATCTGACGTGAAGTATATATCAAGTTTATGCAAAGTGAACATCACACCTCCATATGAAACTTCAGCTGACCATCCCGCAGTTGCAATACGAAGATTCCTCACTAGATGGGACCCTTGTTCCCTGCACCCTAAAAATGCTATCAATTACTGGTTTTCCCGATATAGTATCAGGTTTACTTACCATCCTTCCACTTTTTATTATGCAATCCACGAATATATATATGGAAAGCAGGAAATTATTACATATTTCTAATAATATATGACTCAGGGAATCATTAAATGCTGAAGCTAAGCTTGTTATTACAGCAGTGCACGGGATTAGGAAAGAGTGGAATCCCAGCTCTACCAGCACTATACCTTCTCTATCCTTAATGGAAAAGAGCTCCTGTACACATTTTATTCCTCCTCCCGAGGTCCTGGTACGGGAGGAGGAACTAGTGAGTCATCTAGGTACACTTGAGTGTTGGTGAGGATGAGTACTTGTGTACTCATCCAAGTAACCTTGAGTTCCAAAGTATGGAAAAGAATGAGAGAAATACAGTGTTTTAATTCCCTTCAAAAGTACGAATTGGCTTGTTAAATACGCATGAATGTTAGGGGGAAATTAACATCAATTTTACGTAAGATGAATGTAAACATGTTGTTGGGGAATGTCAATTTTGCGTAAAATTTACGTTAATTTTATGTCACAGTTTACGTATTGTAGGAGGTACTTTTATAAAGATGATGAAATCACAGTAAAAGATAATGCGCATGTCCGGCATAACGGAATAAAAGGGTCGCGCGAGAGAGTAGCGGCGGTCGGGTCGGGTCGGGTCGGGTATGTCAAGTGAGTGAGTCGGGCAAGGGAGTCGAATTGTAGAATAGTGAGGAGAAACCTGAGAGAAGACGCGGGATATTGAGTGGACCCTTGATGTCAGTGCTGGAGATCGTATGCTGTCTGTCACCCCACCGATACCACACGGGTTTATATTCAGGTATTGCTCATTGAGTATCTATGGTCTAATAAGCGGTTAAGGGAACAGAATTTTGAATTTTTGCCCCATATCCATTTCCTGGTTCTCATTATTATTGACCTCTTTCCAAGCTGGTTGTCACAATAAAGTAATTGTATATTTAAGGAGTCAACGGAGTCATTATGAACCTCGAACACGCTGGCGATCTCTTCGTGATAGTCATTAGCGTTAAATCACGTCGGAGCCGCCTACAGTATTACTGAGGTGACATTTCTGCAAACCTGTTGACATTATCTTGATGATGGTTTGCGTAACATAGATATAAAATGAACAAACAATTTATATTCAGTTTATGTAAAATTTACATAAACGTGCTGCTTGGGATATTACATGTATGGTTTAGCGTATTCTTGACTCAATGAGTGGATTCTCTTTTGATCCTAAGTTCCCCTATGATAAAACCTGCAATCGACAAATTTGAGACTAATTCTTCTTGTCTTCAGACTCCGATAAAGACCTGCCAAGACTGCCACATCTTACTCGATTTCTCAGAAATCAATTGACATTTCTATTCTGAGGAACCTAGAAATAACCAAGCCGCAAGCACAGCATCAATAGGTTCTTTTGCAACAATCCCCTCTGTAGTGGTGGGGATGCCACAGGGAGATGTTACTAAATGTCCTGGGTACGTTGGTGTAGGGGTCGCTTTGGTATTCGGTGTTCGGTGGTGAAGTGGTGAACATCATTCCCATCATTTGTTTCTCCCTCGGTTCAACTCATGGTTTGGTAGAGATCCATCTCGTTTCTTGGCTGGAGGTAACCAGGCATGGCTGTTGACATCCAGATCAATAGCATGACGCACCAAGAAATAGACTTCGTGCATACAGAAAATTCGAACCTCATAGCCAACTTATCAAAGTCACCCTGGATTAGCACAGTGTTTAGTGAGAACCTGGGGTCCATCCTTGAGAAGTAGATGTGAGTTTTGTCTATTTATAAAATAAATAACCAGAGTTTATGAATTTGATGAGGAAGAAATTAATATTCACATTTCTTTATTTGTTTATTACATCATTATCGTGAATGGTGAGCTCTTCCGGAGGAAATTGTGTCAAATTATAATTTCACCGTAACCATTTTACAAAGCGAGTAATGAAACCGAAAAAATTTACAAATTTTCATATAAATCAGTAGTGGTATCTGCCAATCATTCGTTATTTGTGAATGGTGTATTCCCATCGGTATCCGTGGCGATCAAATCAAACCATGATCCCCATGTGTAATGCATCTGCATCAAACTGGATCTGCTCCAACTTTTCCTGATTTCTCGATTCTTGGTGGAAGCCATGCGGCTCAATGTTGGGCCTTTCCACAGGGTTGCTGGTATCATTCAGGGGCTCTTCCTTAGCTTTCCTGAGATAATGGTATGCATTGTAGAGTGAGGGATGGTAGTTATCTTTGGACTTGGTAAACGAGGCACTAAGGAGTTCTAGGGCCTCAGTGCGTCGTTCTCTGTCGACCTCGAGTTGTTGGATTAAGTAGCGGACGACAGCCTCTTGGCTATACTCAGCCGCAATGAGCAAGGGTGTCATCATGTGCTTATTATGCGTCATCTTTGCTCCATGTGCTATAAGCTCAGACACTATCTCCACATGTCCACTTCGAGCAGCGAAGTGGAGGGCTGTCCTTCCATTGTTGTCCTTGAAGTTTGGATCAGCGCCGTGTTCCAGAAGATACTGCACAATTTTCAGGTGTCCGCGAAAAGAACTTATCATGAGGCAGGTACTATTGAATTTGGTGGGAAGATTAACATTGGCCTTTTGCTCAACCAAATATTCGACGATGTCCAACTTGCCATTGAAACAGGCAACCCTTAAAGGTGTAGAATTAGTTTTTGTCGGATGATTCACGTCTGCACCTGCTTTCACCAACGTCTTCACGACATCTAAATGACCTGCATCAGTTGCGTACAATAAGGCGCTGGCATCCTCTATGGACTTTCCCTCGATCTCCATCGTGGCCTCTTCTTCCAAATCGTGCTGGAGCTCGAAAAGTAGTCGGACAATAATGTTATGTCCTTTTCGAGCCGCAATAATGAGAGGTGGGCATTTCTGTGGCATTGCCATGATCCAATATAAACCCTTCTCTATCCCAAAGAAGTGAACAGTCCAGTCCGCATCCAACTCTGCATTCAGGAGTATATCTTTTTCGCTCCTTTTCTCAACATCTCTCCTCTGCATCGTCCTCACTCCCCCATCCTTTACACTTTTGTGAGAATAGATGTGGATTACGACAAGATCTTTCTTGTCCAACTTGTTCAACAAGGCGTGTAGATCGCTCTGTTTGGCGTTCTCAAGTTGCATGAGGCATCTGGGCATCTGCCAAAAGATAAAACAAGGTTATCCTTGAGGATTTCCCCCTTCATCATAACACGAAAGCAACAAATACGAAATGAAATCATTATTGAAACGACATGCATTTACTTGTATCCAACAATCTCTTGAGAACTGCAGTCGACCTATTCAAAACGACTCTCTCAGCTTTCCTTGATAACAGTCGTCATAAGTAAGAACCCAGCTGCTGATGCTCGGCTCATAAGAAGTGAAACCATAAATTATAAAGGATCATAAGATGTATGCTTATTTGGCGCTTCCTCCTAAATATAGCATGACAACGAATCAAAGACTATATATATCAAGAGCATAATTTCGGTTCAGCCAGGATGTGATTCATACTACCTGAAATCAGTTAAAAGCATCAGGTTGCTCATTCCTCTCCTAATAGGATTCTTCCAGTTTCAGTTTCTGGGACAAATTAGCAATACATTTTTCACTTTCATGATGTGAAGATGATGAAAAAAGATTTTCAGAATAATTGCCCTAATTATTTCTTTCAAATGAAACAAAAAATACGTAATTGAACTTCCATTGCCTTGTCGATTTCCAGCTCACATAATTTTTCTTTCATAAAACATACAGATAGACGAAGGGCATATGCATCCCTGAAGTGCTTCCAATCAATTCATTCGCTCCAGAACATACAAGAGCTATCTCGCAAATTGGATCGTTCTACTTGTCTCATTCGAATATTCTATCAAAGAACGAGCTTATTTTGATAATCTACAGGGCAAAATTTTTGTTTTCCATTAAGCAAAAAGCTCGAAATAATTAAAATTAAAATATTAAAATATAACCTGGAATGCTCCTGGAGTTGCATCATGGTACCTTGCAAATTTATGGAAATAAAAACTTGTAAGGGTTCTGAGAATCAGTACCCGAGGCGAATGTGGTGGAAGGTTTTCTTCGTGAATGCGGGAGACAGTCCCCGTCAGCCGCCGGAAAAGAGTGGACCGTTTCTTCTCTCCTCGGGAAAAGTTCGTCTTCGCGTTCAACTGCAGTTGCATCTCTTCCTAAAATCACGAGCTTACATCGTGCTTCCGATCCTCATCAATAGAATATTATTTATGGTTAAGAATGAGATGGAATTTGAGACCTGAGCTTTCCTTTCTCTGAACTCCGTCTCGATTATGCGCTGGTTTCGCTCCATCTCTTCGCGCACCGTCTGCTCCTTCTTGAGTCGCTCCTCCACTTCTATAAACCTTGTTTCATGCTCTGTCTTAAGCTCCGTAAATAGTACTGCCTTTTTCCTCTCCTCAGCCAAAGCATCCAACAGCTTCTGCTGCAACTCTTCTACCTGCAATAATGAGTTAATCTCTTGTCCCTAGCACATTTAAATATATGCAAAACATCAGAAGTCAGGAATCATTTATTTGAAGCCATGCAGAAGAATTTCAACAAATCGCATTTGCTCAATTAAGCAAAAAAAATTGTGTACATTGACTAATCAAAGGAAAAGAAACTCTTTAGTATCTTGTTAACCTTCACATACGGTACATCCTGCAGGGTTCTGTCTCTTTTCGGCATGATATCTGGTATTTTTGTATATTCGGCTGTTCCACGGTATCAAATTACTCTGAAAGATTTCTGGCATGGATCTGTAGTGCATTGCTTTCCTACTTGAATAGCTTTAAATTCATCCACCTATCCGATAGGATGTCAAGGCAATTAGCTGACCAGAATCGACTCCCCTATTCGCAAAGGGTTTCCTAAATATAAATTGGACCAAATTGGGTCAATGGGTCGATTTCGATTCCTCTGAGTCACATGAACAAGATCTTGTGATGAATGTAACGTTGTGATTCATCAGTGAGGCAAAAGAGATCCAAACAGCTCAGGCTGGAAATAATCCAAATCCTAATATGCTTCGATTCTTGGCATTTGTTACTCCTCGTAGTATATATTGTTCCTGTCAGAAGAGAATGGGATGGAATATGACACCTGAACTTTCCTTTCGCTGAGCTCCGTCTCTATTTCCTGCCGGATTCGCTCTACTTCTTGACGTACGGTCTGCTCCCTCTGGAGATCCTTCTCTAGTTCCTTGCTGCGAGCTTCATGCCTTGCCCTCAGCTCCTCCTGCTCGGCAAGGGTTTTCGACTTGTCTTGCAGCGTAAGCCGCATCTCCGCCACCTGAAATCTCTCGTACATGACTCATTTGTGAAAGGAAGTAAAATGAAAACCGTTTTTCATGGGTTTTTCTTCTTTATATTTTTTTAAACCCACTTTCACTTACTGACATGGTGGCAATCAGTTTTCATATAAAAAATGAATGAGTTGTCGCTACGTCCTAATGAACCACCTAAAATCAACAGACCACTAGTTAATTACGACACAAAATTCGATGCAGGACTTACGGACAAATATGGCGTTTGATTAGTCATCTAGAAATTTCCAAGACAAGTCATAACATTCAACCTCTGATTGAGCCCTTTTGAGTGTCCTGAGTAGAAAAACCGTAAATTTTCTGCAATTAATGGCCATTGTTATCTCCAAATGTTGCATCACCAACAATGAGAATGGCACTGGTCTCGTTCTACATGCACAATTACTGCCCTCCAGAAGCCTTGCAGCACTTTTTCGTGATCGAAATTCTCATCACCTATAGCATCGTCAGCGGAATTTTCCGATCCTCACAGAGCTTAATCTGTTATCCTCACAAAGCGCCCTCTCATGATTTGCGCCATCGTTTGTCTGAAATTCGCCTCAGAATTCAGTTGGTTCGATTTTTCGCCATTAAAGAATTACAATTACTAATACTTTAATAGAAATACAGGGTTTCCCAGAATTAATTGCCAAAAGTAAACGCTTGCCATTCAAACATCGCTCAATGAAACTCCACAAAAATTTGCATATAGAGAGTTATTGACCTAGAATTTTAATGTGGAAAGTTTCAGTATTCTCTGGTGACGATGAAAGTTTTTTTTTAGCAGTTTCTTGAAAATGTACAATTTTCGAGGTCGCACTTTTTGTACCTGAAGGTAATTCAAGGATTGTTTGATGGAACTCCACAAAAATTGGCATGTGTACGGGGAATATCATCAACTTTTACTTGCCAAATAATCAAATAATTATATCAATTCTGCGTTTATTAATATTTCTCAATGTGCTCGCTACCATTTTCAATTATGAGAATCAGCCTCTCCCTGAAACAGAGCAAACTTCTTTCGGAAAAATCGGGAGGTAGGGATGCGCAAGTTGTTTCGATGGCCTTCTGGAGTGAGTTCAGATCCTTAACACGTTGGCGACAATGCGTCCTGATGCCAGGATGTAGATTTTTTTTCAATGAACACCCTCTGGAACTGTTGAGAACGTTCCAGAAGATTATGATTTCGTAATTACTGATAAAAATTCCAAAAAATGCAACATTTTAAAAAAAACTCGGCAAAAAAAATGTTTTCTGGGACCATGACTGATGGCAGGACGCATTTTCGACAAAAAAAAATGCGCGTGGTCCCACGCGGCGGACAAGCAAAAATAGGCTGGTCGTCAACGTGTTAAACGGTTTGGCGTACACCAGCTGCTTCAAATGCCCCCACAAGGCGAAGTCGCAGGAGGTCAGTTCTGGGCTTCTCGGGGGCCAGGAGATCGAACTCTTAATCAACGTAGAATTGATATAATGATTTGATTATTTGGCAAGTAAAAGTTGATGATGTTCCCCGTACACATGCCAATTTTTGTGGAGTTTCATTGAGCGATGCTTGAATGGCAATTGTTTACTTTACTAATTAATTCTGGGACACCCTGTACATCTCCAAACGGTTGTTGGAAAGCCTAATTCTCTTCTTGCACCATAAGGGTACATTATGTTTTTTTTTACACCTTCATTTACACCCTGTTGAGTACTCTTCGTTCAAGAAAGTAGGATGGAATAAGAAATCGGAGCTTTAAGTTTCGTTGAGATCTGTTTCAAACACTAGGTAGCTCTTAATCTGGACGTACCAACTCCTCCTTTTTCCGGCACTCCTCAAGTTGATTCATTTGCTCCTGCAGCTTCCGTTTCATCTCTCTTACCTGTAATCATAAGTCAATCCTCACCTTCGATATACTTAAGGACTTCCTTACTATTGGTAAAAGGGAATGGGCTTATAATGACATTCAGATACCTGAACTTTGGTCTCGTCGAGCTCTGTCTCAATCTTTTGCTTCATTCGCTCCATCTCCTCACGCACGGACTGTTCTCTTTCCAGTTTCTTCTCAAGCACTTTTATTTTAGCTTTATTCTTTGCTTTCAACCCTTCCTCCTTGGCCAATTTCTTCGACATGCTATCCAGCCGTTCTTCCAGCTCCTTCACCTTCTTCATCTTCACGGATACGATTTCTCGGTATTCATTCGATGCGGTTTGTGCCCAATGAAGAGTCTCATGTTAAAATTTACTATTTCGTATAATGCATCACAACTTTCAAAGTAATGGAAATTTCCATCGTCCAGCAATATTTCTCGATCCCAATTACAGACATGATCTTGGGAAAATGATGAATGGTAACATTTTTCTATGATACTCTGTGCTGAATAAAGCGAAATTCTTGGGAAACTGTCTAGTTTATGTTTGAAGTTCCCTCGGAAGTAACGCCAAGGGTAGACCTACATGCCTCCTTGTAGACATGGAATACATTTCTGAGAAGTCACTGTGGGCATGTCTTATGAAATATTTGTAGGATAGTCATCCAACTACTTGAGAAGAGTGAAGCGTTAATTCTAAATATGTTTTGCTGCTCTAAAATACCCAGCATCACAGCATATTTAAATTTCTGACTGATTTGTCTCAGTTATACTTTAAATGAAACTTTTCAAGAGAAAGGAACCATCATTTGCTAAAGGATAGTCCAGTACAACGGAATTATTGACCCACTGATCTAGGATTAGAGTCTTTCATTTTTCCTCTTGATATTGAAGTGCAAATTATTATAATATGAAGAGTTGAATGGGTAAACTGAAGTTTAAAATATATCCTTGCAGCTCTCCACTTATCTATTTAAGTAATCCATAAAGGCTCACTGGATTCCAATACAAAGTAATGATCCTCAATATGCTAGTGTAACAGCTGTACACCTTACTGTGCATATTGTGCATACTGTGCATTTAATAAACCCTTATCAGGAATTAAAGAATGCCATTATTAACAAACCCTGTTTTCTTAGTTTTGCAGTTCATAGTGACTGATGCTTAGAGAACATGGGTGTGAGGAGCTGGAGCTACATGAGTGATCATCTGATAAATCCTGCTCTTAGAAGACAATGTGCTTTCTTCGGTTGTAGTTCATGTTGACAATCTGGAAATGTTAATATGAGAAGTAATTGTCTACAATAGCTTAAGGAATATATCTCTCGTGTTGAGAATTTTTTGGTTGGATTGTATTGCTTGCAAATCTCTATGGGGAAGGCGTCATTGCAAAAACTACAGAGAAAAAACGTTTCCAAATCGACGATTAATCCATGGAGATGGTCCTGCTATTTCCACATTTAGTCTACGTACAGTATACTCTCAACGTTTCCAGGTCGATATTTCAAGGTATATTCAATGTCTAGTCAATGTTGCTATGGCAAATGGGATGTCCTCATAGGTGAAGTGTTATCATTCCATTATTTAGAGCAAGTGAATTTTAAGAATTTAATATTTCATTTGAGCATCTCAAATTATATTTGGCATGAAGTACTTAAACATTCTCATACTAAAATCACATTTAACTCCGAAAAATATTCCATTTAGTTTTGTGTATTCAACGTAGCTCTGGAAACATATTCATACCCAACAATATTAATAAAATATTTAAATGCATACATAATAATAATAGATGGAGAGATTTCAAAAGCATAAAAATGCATAACTTTTGACTTGTGAATTTTTGAGCTATCAGTTTTTAGGTTTGCCAGAAATCGAATCCTCATTTTCTGTTATTGGGGAAGGTGGGGCAAAATGGTGGCAAACATTTTGCCCGAGGTGTAAACCCGAGATGTAAAACGGGGCAACGCAGATTTTAACAAATCATATCCGATATCTATCGGCTATTTGCCTTATTATAACCGCCCACGACCGCTGCAAGTTTTAAGGCATAGTGGCGCTCTCTAAAGTAGTTTTTAATCACACACGGAGAAAAATAAGAAAACATCGACTTCATCATTTTGCTTCGAGTCTTTTATGAGCGAAACAAAGTAACATGGCAACATTGGAGGCGTCCGATATTTCTTTTGGCTAAAGGTGAAAATGTGAACTATTGTGTAAAGTCATCATTTTTTGCATTGCTCAAATCGTTTGTTTGGCAGTGTCTTTATTGCAGACAGTGCTGATGGGGCAAAACGGGGTGACGGTGAGGGGGCAAAATGAGGCGGTATAGCGGCTCTATATATCTATTTTAGTCTGGCTGGAATATCCATTACTTTGGTGAGGCTCAGGCTAATGCGATGTGTTACTGTTCAGATTCTTTCTCTCGCTCAAAACCCAGTCAAGGTAGGATCACCGGAATTCGGCTCATGACATCTTTGCAGGCATCGAACACGACAGGGATATGGACGTGTTTTTCTGTGACAATTGTAAATTTGCATATATGATGAATACATGGATAACGATTTGAAACAGCAACGATCGTTTTGCCTTAAAAGTTTCATTGTTGTTTCCATTGTGTTGCCTTAGAATTAGGCATGTAATGAAAACATGGGAAAATATAAGAAAAAAAGCAGTGTTTAATTGTAGATGTTTCATTGCTGTTTCTGATCTTTGACCTTTGTAAGCAAGAATGAAGACCTCGGGAAAAGAAAGAAAACATCTTTTGGTAATTTATGGATGTTTCGTTGTGGTCTCTGTTCTGTGATATTTGTAAATAGGCATAAAATGAAGACAGGGGAATACATGTGGATAATAAATTAGTTTTCTATTTGTAGATATTTCATTAATATTTCTGTTCTGTGACATATTTAAATAGGTATTTATTATGCATCGAAACATTGTAAATCACTATCTGGAGGAGCAACAACATGTATTTGGCAACAACTTTTAGAATTGTTGGGGGGAAAGCCGTCGTTGATTTCGCGATGAAGTTGAATCCTATTTGTAGGTATGACATGAAAGATACCGCATACCAATCCGCAACGTGCTGTGCCAAATCCTTGGTAATAAATTTTGGCAGTTTTCCTGAACTGCCCCGTTTTGCCCCATCTTCCCCTATGTTCTCAACATTTTCATGTTAAATTCCATTATGTACGTTCTAAAAATCTAGGAAAATAGGAGAAATAGCAGAAAAATAAATGATCTGCTAAATCTTCAAAACCTCAAAGTTCTTGCTTTCAATATACATTGAGAATCCTAAGTCTGGAAACCGGCTTTGCACTTCTATTTTGTTTGAATTTATTTTGCTTGCTCGATTAACGTTTAATTTTCCACATATATTATTGCACTATATATACAGTACATGTACCTTTATGAATTTATTTATAACTGGAAGTACTTCACAGTAACTTATCAGGCCTTAGCACCTGACGCCAAAAAATACTATTTTATGGGGCAAACAGAGATGTACTTCATTTTTTCTAGGGAAAACTTTCGCTTCGATTTCTTTTGAACACTATTAATATCAGTTTATATTTGCCATCTGAAGAAGAACGATATGAAGGCTAGAGTAGTCAATTTGTGCCCTTCACTTTAAGTACGTTCTAGAATCATCAAGTCTAACTTTCCAACAAAAGAAGCACATTCTCTTGTGCCGTTACGAATCAAAATCCGCCTCTTCGACTCAGACTGGTTCTAATGTCTCATGGTATCATGGAAGTATGCGAGTATAAGCACGGGAAATCGAGGACTTACTTCGGGCTTCGTAGGAAGTGCTTGATCGCCCTCGATATTCAGTCCCTAGAAAGGAAAGGAATAACCAATTAACGAAAGGAATTAACGAGTAACAAATAAAAGGGTAAGATGGAGAGGAAATAAATCGATTCACCACCTTATTGAGCAACTCTATCAGCACTTCCTGGCTGAAATGCTGTTGGGACACCTCTCTATTGCGCTATCGAGTAGGCAATAGAAAGAACAGAAGTTTTGAAGGGATATGAATCAAACGAGATCAGAAACACTTCATACCAATTTTTTTTTTAATCAGTACCTCCATACCAACAGGAATTGGAAGACAGTGTCCCATGGGAGGCATCCATTGGTTGCTGAATGGAGGAGAGAATAAATTATGAATTGAAAGATTTGAGAGACCTCTAGTCTATATTAGTAGTCAATAGTACATCGTTGATAATTTATTGAAACTTTGCAAAACTCACCCAGGTTCAATATATTGGTTTCCGTGTTGGTTTGGGTCTAGAATAATTTGATGATCAGCAATTGGGTGTCCTACATATGAATCCGTAGCATTTGGCATTGCAAAAAGAAAATTTGACTGGAATTGGGGAATCTGATGAATCATTGGATCGTGCATGAGGTAAGGATCGTGGTTCTCAGGAACGGACCCGTACTGACTAGAAGGGGCAGTTGAATGCATTTCTTGTTGAGGATATTCCGTTGCGTCATGTGATGTGAGCCTGTTGTCAATGTGAGCCTGTATAGCTTCCACTTGCTGTTTCATCTGGTTTCCAAGAAGCAATGCTTGCTGCTGAGAGAGGTTAGGGAAAAGCTGGGAGTCTGACTGTCTTGTTAGTCCAACTTCCACAAAAGGCTTCCAACTTCCAACTTCCACATTTTGAGAGTGCAGTTCTGTTATGGGAGGGATTTCTTGCTCATGTTCCATTTCCTCATGACCTTGTTTGCCTTGCACCGTGGCCGAAGAAGGCACAACTGACTCTTCGCTTTGAGTTCACCACGTCATGGGCTATGAATGACCAATACATTTAATTAAACTAACAGTGAGATTTTTGCCAGCCTTAAGCAAGAAGTTGTTCAATTGACTTTTAGGAATGTGGGTTTTTAAAGTCTGCCCTGGCCTTATGTAAGAGATGTCACTACATGTTGTGCGATTTCGCTTCTGAAATAGAGGGAGAAAGAGACAACGAGAAACAGAGAAAAACACCCACATGGTATGAAGGAAATGCTGGAGCGATGAGGTCCAGTGACTCCAATGAAACACTAGACAGAGGAGGGAAGGAAAATAAACCAGTCCTCCCTCTGTCTTCTTTTTCCCGTTGAGAGCTTGAAGACAAGAAATCCAGATATCGAAAGCGCTTCTCAGGCTGTGTAGATACCTGGATGCCTCTTATCGGAAGATACGAGGGGAGGTCCAAAAGTTCCTGTTCTGACTATGATAGAAACACCAGAGAGATAAGTTCTTGTCATCTCTTTGTAGGCCTACTCTTAGTATATAAGAAGCCACAACTTCAGATTTTTC